TCCCCCACCACCAAAAAAGTACGAGTACTCGTCACCCCCGCCACCTCCTCCCCACTATTAGGTCAACATATGTACTCTACTAAACCATACATGAAGGTGAGCTTCTTTACAAGATATATAACTCAATACATTAGACCTTTGCATATATCTCAACATGAATTTTGTTATTTTTTCAGGAAGAATGAAAGAAATATATGTTTCCAAATCAATAAAAGGGGATAGCCTAATGAAGATCATCCATCATTGCTATACAAAGAAGGCTTTTTTAATTTGTTTGCATCTATGATATTTTTTGTTGTTGTTTCTATATGTGTGTGACTTTTCCTATACTTTGATCAGTAAAAATAAATTTGCTTGTGTTTCTTTCTCAAAAAAGCTCTCAATCTTTCTATTGTGAGATGTCATAAATGAAATGTTATTTTTATTGTGATCAAACGCCAAAAAAGGACTAAATACTGATTAAAGCATTACTTACCTCTATAAATGATTAGAGATCCGAATATACAACTTTTTGTTCTTTAAAAAGTAATAGTAAAAAAGCTTATTCATTTAGTCTTCAATGGAGATTAATTTAACATGGGTACCAAAGTAATTTCAGCTCCACCAAATAAGACACAAGATTGAGAAAGTAAATTTTTAGAAAAATAAAATTAACTTTTGAATCTGGTCATAATTTAACAAACAAAGTTAAAATGATACTAGTTAATATTTTTATGAAATTCAATATAGTTATTTTTGAAGTTCCTTCCATAGATATGCATAATATTTATTAATACTGGCTCAAGTATTTTTTCCTCATTTGAAATATATTATTCTACACACATGATAATACTTTTAGGTAAAAATTAAATTAAAATAATCAAATCTATAAACATATCGCATGGTTGTTTACTGAATCCAAAGTTGATTTTGACATCATTTTAACTCTCAATGTACAACAAAAAATTAATCTCCTAGTACACAAAGTTGACTTTTTAAATCTTCAAACCAATTTTGTCTTTGTTTGATTCAAATAAAATACAAAATAGATCAAATTACATTTTTAGGGTCAGTTTTTTCACCTGCCTTTTCATTTAACCACTTCTTTTTAATATATTTTTTCTTAAAAACACTTTCTATAAAATAATTTTATTTAAAATACTTATGTTTGGTTACCCTTTTAAAAAATGATTTCAAATCACAAGTTTATTTAGTTGAACTATATTTAAAAATGATTCTTACCATTGTCAAATTATCATTGAGTGATTCTAAAAAGATCTAAAGTCAATCATTTTGGAAAAATAAACTTTAAAGTGATTCTTTCAAATGAATTATAAACTAATTTTTTATTATTATAAATATTATTATTTGTTAAAAACACTATTTAAAAAAAAGAGAAAAAAAGGAAGTATTTTTTCACGTCCTCTCTAACATCACTGCAAAAGTTAATCTAAACACACTCTTAATTAGTCTACGTATATGCTTTCAACTTTAGTTTCATCGCTTCCTTTTTAAATAATGATTCTCTCTATTTTTATTCTTTTTTATAAAATTCTCTATCCATTTATTAAAGCTTACCAAACATCTCAAATTATGAGTAATGAGTAGCAAAAGTTTAACTTACTCAGTAATTTGTGTTGTGAGCATTAAAAAATGAGTTGCAAAAATCCAAATAGACCTTATGCATTGGAATCCAAAACAATATTAGCATTTGCCATTTTTCTGACTAAAATAACTCTTTAAAACTTGGAACAAAAAATCATGTTGTCAACTAATTAACAACATAAAATAACGAATTAAAACGACATATCGTGGAGCTCATTTTAAGTTTCGATATATAACTTGCTACAAAATATTTTTCTTAGCTTCTCGTCTCTAATGCCAGAAATATTTTTCTTAGCTTCTCGTCTCTAATGTCAGTGACATTTTTCTTTTTTTATTTTTCGAAATTGATGTCGTGTGACATATATTAGTGGATCCGTATAATCAAAGCTCGTTTCTAATGTCAGTGACATTTTTTTTTGGTAGACTTTAATCACGGTAATTAAAACCGTCCAAATTAATCAAAGTATTTTACCCAAAATTTTAATTTAACCAACCAAAATTCTCAAATGTATTGCTTATGCACAAGTTTCTTTTTGCAATTTTCAATTAATTGTTCAATGTGACATTCTTATTTTTCAATCCAAAATTAACATCAATGCATATTTATATGTGTAGAGGAGGCTCTTGGAGGTTGAAGGAGTGAAAAAATGGGATTTTTTACTCCAAATATTTTTTAATTATACCTTGATCTCTTTTCAAATAACTTGTACTACATGTTTTGTTTTTTTTTTTCTTACCTCTTTTCACTTTTTTAACTCCTTTCCCTTTTTGTTCTCTTTGTTTTCAATAATTTTTTTTTCTATTTTAATAAAATCTGTCCAATTTTAAAAACTCATAAAAAGGAAATGGTAAGAAAATTAATGGTCATCTTCTTGATTTATTCTATATATATAAAAATGATTAGAAAATTAATGGTGGATCTTTAACTTGATTTATATATGAAAATTATAAATGTCATTTGTGTATTCAACCCTGAGCTATCTGTTAAAAATAAATAAATAAAAACTAGTTATTCAATCGAGTTGCATGAATCCTAGGCTAAATTACATAAATCTTGTAAATTATGCCCCTACAAGAAAATTAAGTATTTTTAAAGGCCCCAACCTTTGAAAAAGTATAAAATAAACCTTCGATAAATGTTTTTTCTAAGGTCTACTCAACCTTCAAACAGTGTCGAAATAGGTCTCGTCGAAAAAGCTTTTTCGAAAGTTTTATTAACCTTCAAAAAATTATATTTTTCAAAAGTTATAAACCTTCAATAATTATTAAATTAGTTGTCGTAATTAGTTAGTTTCAATAACTTTTTTCGAAGGTTTTCATTATTTTTCAGGGATGATAATCTTATCTTCAACCATTTTTAAACCTTAAAAAAAAGTTCTTTATTGACATTTGTAAATCCTTTGAAAAAAATCCAATAGAAGGATAACATTTGAAATTAATATTAATTTAATATTATTTGTTTGAAAAAATTAAATTACTTTTCCTAGTTAAAATTTATAATTTCAAATCTATATTCAACCCAAACAAAATATTATTTACTATAACCAATAGTCACTGCAAAAACAATCAACAAGTAGTCACCATATTTCTAAAAGTAATTCAAATAATACAAATACTTCAAATACCTAAAACAACAAAATTTTCTAACCCTTACTTTAGGATATTTTTCGCATCATCTCAGCCATCGTTGCTTGAAATCGATGCTCAAAACGACTTTATAACTCAATAATTTGATCTTTGAGTCCTTGTACCTCAACTTTTCTTTGTCGTCCAGATTCTTGAAGGAAAAACTATATTAGACACTTGAAAACGTGAGAGTGAGAAACAAAATGACTCGAGATAAAGAGATGGGGAAGAGAGAACACTGCAGGAGATAATATCTTGCCCTCATATTAGTAAGAAAAACCACGAAGAAATTGCACTAGAAACTAGAAACCAAAATAAAAATGAATCACTGCACATAATCCACAAACCATCTTCCAAAGGAAAAAAAGCAACAAATTAATTAAACTAAGATGTTTAATTAATGCAACTGATGCCTGAGCTAGGGATCCATTTGAACATTTGAAGAATTCACAGTAATGAGTTGGTGTTTGATAGGTAATTTAAATTGTACTAGAGAGGAAGCATATAATATGGTTAGCGTGGATTTTATCTCAATCTGTGCTTAGAGGGAGAAAAAGTTTTGGGTTAATTTGGGGAAGATGCACAACAAGCTGCATCAGGATGCCAACCTTTATCATTTTCTTCAGAGAAAACCTCATGTGAGAATAAAAGCTTCAAGGAGATTTTGCTCCATTTCTCCTGTGTTTGTTCTCAATACTTTGAGTTGATTTATTGAGAGAGGCACTAGGCTGGTTGAAAGTTTTTTCACATAATTTACTCCAATTTCTTAATACCTATTATTGGACTTCTAGAGTGAGAAAAAAAATTGTTGAAATTAGTTCGTTGGACATCAACTATGATAGTTGGAGGAAGCAAATAAAGCAAGTAAATGTTCATGTGTCAGAGGTAATTTGGATACCTTTGGAAGGAATTCTAAATCAGTGACTCATTTGGAGGAAGTAACTTTCTTAGGGAGGGAGATAGAATTTGTTTATGGTTTGTTTCCCTTCCCCTTGCAAGAGGAGGTTTGGATTTAGGAAACTTAATTAAGAAGAAGGAATTCTTCTATAGGTTTTAAATGGTTAGTTCTCTTTGATATGGACCATGATCTTTTTCTTCCTCTAAAAACATATTTGAAAAAAAAAAACAAATTAATTAAACCAATAATTTGTTTAAATAAATTGAACATTAAAATAAAGAATTTTAATTTGAAAGAGAGATATTTCTTTGAAGTTATGGAGTAACTTCTATTGAAAAGCAAGTTGATTAAAAGTAATTACATCAAAGCGTATGCACTTACATGACATTGTCATTCTGCTGGGAACGGTAAAAGAGCAAAAGGAACATTGACATGTTCATCATCAAATCATCTTCATGGGCAAAAAAGTTCAGCTAAATAAACTAGATATATATCAAATAGTTACTAGTATGAGGAGACAATCTAGTAGATAAATTGTGCACTAATAAGAATCCTCAATCTTGTAAATTCGAGCATGATGGCCTAAGTCTAAAAAAGAAAGTAAAAACCAAAATGAAATAATTGTGCACTATTCCGTTCCCACTCTTGAGCCATGTTCTAAGTCCCTCATCTGGTTAATTTCATAATTGTATTTTTTTTATGGTTTCTACTTCTAGCTTCGAGTGGAATTACTTCTGAAAGAAATTGATAGCAGTAAACTATTTATAGCAATCGTTTTCCAAACCTATTGATTTTGATTTTAAACTTTGATAGGATGATGACCACTTTTGCAATATCTTGCAATCTAATCACTAATAATAATGTTGCGCTAAATTGTAAGTTAGCTACAAACTAACTAATTACTGAATGTCAAGATCTTCTAAAATGTAAAATCTCATGTGGCTACACAGTTACTCTTCATAATATGAGTTCTGTTCATACTTTCTAACAAAATGTGCAATTATAAATAGAGTAGTACACAAACAACAAAAGGTATATAACAATAGCAACGTGGATGGTGCTCGGATAAGTTGATCTGGATCGAACAATGCTGCAGTTTTCAATCAAGACCAAGCATTTTATCTGGTTTCTTAGAACATTTCTCTTATTTTTCTCCTAAAAGAATATAAAATATTTAAACTATCACATAAAAAAGACAAGAATGATAATAAGAAAGCAGTACAATAGTATTCATAACTCAAACCTTTATTAGAAACTAATTAGTAAG